TTCTTTGCTTGATGCAGGCCACTAATTTGACCCTTCTGAAACACAGTAACATCTTTTCCATGAGCATGGGATACGTCTTCCAACAAGGTTGTTAAAGAAATGAGAAGCTACTAACTGCATCAGTTAGGGTTAAAAGAATTGTTATCAGCTGAAACACATTAATCACTATAGTAATTATCCAATCAACAGCTCTTAAGTACTTGCTGATTTAAATCCAAATGTTTTTTTTTTTTGGCCGGGCAGTGTCTATGTGTGATTATTTTTAAAGGGATGTGTCACAGAAATGGTGCTTCTGAGGGGTTTAGGTAAGTTACTGAGTTCCTAGTACAGGTAAAGCCTATGTATTTGTATGGTCATGTGACCTACTAATGATCAAGCGCAACTTTCATGGCCATGGCCTCTACTACAAGCACTACTAACATCTCAAGAGATTTGCTGGTGGTGTACTCCTAACCTGTAACTACCAAACCTCCTGAGAGTGTGTTTCCCTGTAACATGTCCACTAGATTTGAAAGGGCTCTCAATAGGATGACAGGTTTTGGAGTATGACTAAGGTTACTATGTAGGTTTGGCCTTGGATGCCTTTTGAGATATTTCTGTTTTTAGGGACTTGACAAGAATACTGATAGGGAGGCAGGGTCAGACATTACGGGTCCTACCAAGTCAGTTTCCACTCAGTCACATCCAAGATTTATTCAGACACAAAGGAGAGAGTTGGAAGACTACACCAGGGCAGTGGTAACTCAGTGGTTAAGATGTTGGACTGCTGATTGGATGGTCAGGAGTTCAAATCCCAGTTCTACCACTGCTCGGCCCTTGAGCAAGGCCCTTAACTCTCAACTGCTCAGTTGTATAAATGAGATAAATGTAAGTTGCTCTGGACAATAGCATCTGCCAAATGCCCTAAATGTAAATGCGACACATAGTGAGAAACAAAGTTCTAAGTTTTCAAGAAATGTGTCCTAAAGAATACCTTTGGCTTTATTATAGTCCATTTTAAATAGGGTTTGGGGTTTCTACTTTGTGAAAACATGTAGTAATGAACAATCACTATTTATAGAAAAGGCTGATCCAGCATTTATTTCAGGCGATTTTAGAAACCGGAGAAAAGAACTTGAAAAATGTCACACATGCTGTTCATTGTCACTCAGTAACAGTTACCATTAACATGTAACCTGTAGATCTGCAGCTGTCTAAGGTGGCAATGGTGTGTTATTAGGACTCATAATAGACATGATATTGGACATGATATTGTTCTCATTAAAACAACCATTTCTGTTCTGTTTTCTTGCTGAGAATTTCCAACTCTCTCCTTCACCCATGCCTACTGGTGTAGGTGGAGCTCTCCTATTCCATGGCTGGGACCAGCCCACATACACAGGGGAAGTGGAATTATTTAAAAATAATAATAATGTTCACTAAAAGGCAAAGGGAACTCAAAGGCCAATACTGGGCATA